AAATTTAGCGTACAATAAATTTAATTAGCCAGCCAACAGCTAACGAGCAGCTAAAATACAACGGTTGAAAAGGTCACGAGAAATGAATAAATCCGAGAGACCGACGTTGCCGGGAATTCCCGGCGACGCTATTTTTTATATACATTTCTTTATATACCCCGCGGCAATCCCTGGTGTATATTTTCCAGCCTCCGTGGGAATTACGACGTAAAATTCCGCGGCTCAACTTTTGACCCGGCGAACGGAGGATCGTCCCAGAAACTCGCGACGGAAAGGAAGCCTCTTCTGCTCGGCCGATCTTCGCCCGAGGAAACAAAGGCGTCGCATTTTTGCTGAAAGCGACGCATTTCCGCGAGAACGGCGATTCCCGGCAAGTTGCCGGGCGCATTTAGATAAAAGTGGTCGATTCACAGCTATTTCCCGAATAAATTCTCTTCTCTTTGCGACACAGAAAGAAATCCGGCATTCCTCGATCCAGAAATGTCTGCCCAATCCGCCGGCAAAAATTAAAGATATAATCTCCAAGTTTAGCGAAATAAAAGTAAAAGTACAAGTTATTCCGCGAAACGAACAAAAGTTGTGCTTTCTTATAACAAGACAATCTAAATTTTTTACCTCTTGGCTCTAAAGTTTTCATATTATTTATTCAGACTTGTAGAACCGGTTTATATGAATATAAACAAGGTGTACTCGACAAATACTGGACTCTTACGCCTGATCTACGGCATCAGCATCCCAGGAGCGGCCGTTAAATGAATAGATAATACGAAGATGACATAACAAAATCATAAGCAGCATCTGAGACTCGGGATACAAATTCCAATTTTCGTGCGAGCTATCGAGCATTGTCCCGAACTATTTCTCGCTCCAATTCTATTACACCCGAATGCAAGTTTACCGCGGCTCGGCCGACTAATGTTCGCGGAGTAGTTAAACTTTCCCAATTACACGAGTCAAAACTTTCTTGGGCTCACGTTCAAAACTACACAACTGCCGTTTCCTTCTTTCGACGCGTGCTAAGCCGTCACAGATTAACACCCTCGCGCCTGCCTTGCAAATGTATGCAACATTACGTGTCAGACGCCCCATTTTTTTTCATGCGGCGCAACGTCGTAATATCCGCATAAAATAGCTACGATCATCATTTATTTTAACGCTAAAACACCGAAAATTCATATAACTCTTCTCAATTTTTTCCGCGCTTACATGCGAGGTATTATAAATTTTTATAAATTACGTATTATAGAGCTTTCTGTGATAAATGTATATTTTTTCGAGCTTTAGTCTCTTCGTTCATTTTCTATTTCTTTTTAAATATCAGAAAAATTTATTCGATTCTTGTACTCTTTTTACCCGATATTTTTTAATGTTAAGCCGTAACGAGTAACACTTAATTTTCACTCCGCACACTGCTATTTACCAAATATTAAATTTACCAGTTCGTACGTTTAAAAAAACAATTAGCTAAGCTCGCAATGTTATTTCAATATTTCTTCTTTTACGCGTTTATTTAATTCGTCCAGACAAACTTCCGTATTTCCATATTTAATCTTTTATTAACACAGATACGTGCAAAGGTACAGCACACTCATTATTTTCCATTTCTGCGCACAGCTGTGTGCATGTGTATTAACAAATGTGCAAAACCGCGCGGAACAACGGTCGGCTCATGAAAATTAAATGTTGCTGTCATGTTGATAATCGCAAAACGTGTATCTCTATATACCCGTGCTATTTCCATTACGTAGGAAAAGTGAGACGCAATCAAACGTCCCTAAACGTTTGTGCAGTGAAACGCGCCGCGCATTTAGCATCATGTAATGATGAAAGGCTAAACCGCAATCCGTCCAACACGGGATTCACTTCATTTTCAAGAATTTCCTCGCTCTAATACGAGGCAAAAGTTTGCGAATGTTGACATTAAGTGTTTGTACATTATTGCATAGATTATTTTTAGCTTCAAAGTATTAAAGCAATTTTCTTTAGTAATATTTTATAAATAATACAATATTTTTAGTCATATAGGTATTTTTTGGCATTATCCATCATTTTCAAGAAAAAAATTGATAAAAGAAGTCTCTGTTTTTGGGGAAATAATAATTTATATCTGCATAAAGAAACTTTTGTATATCCCTAATAGTTTCTTTATAATGCAATATGTAGGAAAATCAATTTTTTGAATCTCAAATTTAGGATTTTTACGACTGACGTTGTTTAAACATTTTGTTCCTCTACAGCTTGATCCCTATCATTTCTTGAGTTTTTTTTACATTTGCCTTAATGTGCTAACCGCTCCACCGTTTTTCATCAAATACAAGAACACATCATTATAGTAATTGCTCTCTCGAATTAGCGAAAGTTAATCATACCACTGAAAAAAAAAGAAATTTACGTATATGCATCGTATGCGCTTCCATCTCTATCTTTATCTTACCTGGAGACGCTGCGGGCCAAATGAAGAGCCGAGGTGGGCGCGAGGGAGTCCCTTCGATCGCACCTGCATCTGTACTGATGCGACTGCCTAGACGAGCGATAGGACACCGGCTGCGCTTGCAGCTGCTGCACCTGCGGCTGCTGGAGCTGCGGCTGCTGTTGCTGCTGGAACTGCGGCTCGCCGTCCAGCCGGCAGTGAAGCTCGATGTCCGGTACCGATCGGGTCGCCGGATCCTCGTTGGTGCCGCTCTCCTCGGAGCCGCCGAGCCCGGACACGGACAGTTGCGGCGAGGCGACCAGGAAGGTCGCCCGATCCTGTCGCGTGAGCACCGGCTTGCCCTGAGACGCCGCGGCCACCACGACCGGCGGTGGCGGCGACCTGCCTAGCAGGGCCGCCGTCTCCTCGTTGCCGCCGTAATCGGTACCGGCACCACTTTCCTGTCCGACCGCGTTGCCGTTCGTGTTCATCTCGTGCCGGCTAGTAATCCGCCGCTACGTTACGTTGCCATCCCCTGAAACAAATATCAGTGAACGTGTTAAAAAACGCGCGACAAATGTCTGGATTCTGGTAAAAAAAAAAAAATTACAGTAGATTTCTGTGTTTCTGTGTTATCTTAATTTTTCCATTTTTCTTACGTTACTCTCTCATTATTTCACATTTGCTCTACATGACATTAGAGTGGGAAAATGACTGGAAAACACAAGACACCGTGTTTGTAATCTAGTGTTTATAACTTACGATTAGCGAAAGGAAAATTACGAGTACAGAATCCGTTTTCATTATATCAAGATTAGAGAGACCACTGCGGTGTAAAGAAAAGACGACGCGAGAAATGCGCGAAATAGAAATTTAGAATCGCGAAAACACAAAAGTTTTACAGTTGCGATACATGTATTATGGAATGAAGGATATTCGAGTAATGCAATTTGCAAGTAATTTTGTAATCGCTGCTAAGATATTAGCAGCATCTTGCTCTTCGAAATCCTAATTTTAATCTTTCGATTAACAATCTAACTTAAAGGTGTAAAAAATGCGAAGCAGAAAGGAAATAAATTTATATATTGCAAGATTCATTGTAAATGTAAAATATTTCGTACTGGAAAAAAATATAAAAAATTATTGAGCTTGATTTATTTAAAATTAATTTTATAAACTATTGTTTAATATTTAATACTTCTTTTACTACGTCTAGTTCGCTGCCTCATACGAATGTCGTCTGTTACGCTTTCGAACTGTAAAATCGGGAATTCAAAGAACCGAAGACAGGTTCATATTTCGACTGAGTCAGTCGATGGACCACGAGTTCGAGAGATCTACGTGAGTATCGGTTTTCCTGGCTGTTACCGAGTAGTAGCCGTGGTGAATTTCGAGTATCGTCCTTCGAAAGTGTTTCGAGAGCGCCGACCGCAGACGTGGTCCGGTTTGTGGCGTCGCGAGAGATTTCCGGTGCGAGATACGTCGGCGACACAACTCGCCGCAAGATTTACTAAGCAAGCATCGCCGACTGATTACGTCGCTGAGGAGCTTCTCGTTACACATTTATATATATATATATTAATATATAAAAGATGTTACATTTAGAACTTAGAATGAGATACGGCAAATGACGGCAAATTATTCATTTACGACGGTCACAACGTCGCGTCTGAATTAAGAGCAAAAATTTTAATTAAATTGATTGATATTAAATTGATCTCGCTTTCATGAAAAATTTACATTGTACTCGAATGCCGACAACTAACGCTCCCGCGTTGAATTTTTATGGAAAAATCACTGTTGCAAATTGTCGAAGAAGTTGCAAAGTAGAGCTGCTTGTTTAAAGTTCGCGCTGCGGTTGATAATAGATTCGCGGCTTCCGAAACAACGTTTGTAATAACTTTACTTGCTCCGCTGTTGATTTAATTTTACACTCGGCAACATGCTAATTTGAATGAATCATTAATCCCGCCAACACTTTTTGCACAAGAAGCGGCAAGAAATTTCAACTTGACACCCACGGAAATTGGATCTTGCGGATCGCAGAATAACGTCGTTAGTAGAGTAATTTTTGCGATGGAGCATATATAACGGCGTAAAAGCGACATTAGTACAATTAAATGATCGCAAAATATAAACCGGATGATTGTACAAGCAAGATTATGGCAGACATCAAGAATACGACGATCGTAAAAAGTAAACTACCTCTATTAGGCCAATAACATTCTTTTAGTATGTTCACCCGTCTCGTAAATCTAAAGAGGCGACAACGTTTTCCAATTTATCTAATCGACACATCACAAAGTCTTTTTTTTTCTTTTGTAAAGAGAAAAAAATTCGAATTTTAGATTTTAAATTAGTTCGAATATACTTTTAGTTCAAACTCTTCAAACTGCTTGACTATCTAAAATTTCTCAGCATTAATCGTAAATGCGTAAATAAACGTTAAACGAGACCGTATGAGTTTTTATTTGTTCAACATGAAAATTAATATAAAGCTTAATATAAAACTTAATTGCTACGTTGCGTATTAAAAGAGAAAATCTTGATATCTCTCTCGTTTGCCATATTATGTTTATACGCAGCAGCAACGGAGTGAGCAAAGAAATTGAAGAGTCGCAAGGCAGAAGTAATAACATTTCACTCTGCATCTATATCATTCTGTGTGATATGTCTACGTGCATTTAACGTAAACATAGGAGAAGAAACAGACAGACCGCAACTTTAATACGGAAGAAAGTTTAAGTCGTGTCACGAGATAATGTCTGAGAGCGACATGCTATCTGACACGGAACTTAGTCAGGCAATGCCGTCATAAAACGCAGGATAAAAAGCTACGCATCGGGTAAGCATGCAAGGCTCATGCATCCTTCTTCGGGAGTTCAATTTTGCAACAGTCTCTTTCCTTCGCCCTTCCCTCCATCCTCTCACTCTGTCTTTCTTTCTCGAACCACGGAGCTCGTTACTTTGCATTCCTGAGAGCCCTTATTCCGCCCCGGGACTCGAGGAATAATTTTTCGCCGTCGAAATACAGGTGAGCTCTCGTCATCTCCGTTCTATACAGAAAAGGTGAGAGGTGGATATCGGTCGACGCGGCTCGCCGATAGAATTTCTCTCCGATGCCAGATGCACTTCCGCCATTTTCGCGTTATCAAAAATGGAAAATAGTCAGGTAAAATATACGACGACATCTTTTTGCAATAAACTGCATATCGAGCGGAAAGTGACATGAAAATAAATCGACAGTTTTGAGGATTGTAACAATGGGAATATAGCGAGCGCATACAGAAAGAATGCATGTTTGGATTTGTCGATTTTACATGTTGCAAGCGTGACAAAAAAATTAATGTTTAATAAATTAATTAGACAAAACATTATAGCGACTATTGTAGGCATTTAAATCGCATCATAATAGTTCGATCTTTTATATCAAAATTAGCTGCTGCTTCTTCCGCTCTCACTGCACTAAAAGTATAGTTCTAAAGATCTCAGAAACGGAAATAATTAAATGTGTGTAAACAGACGTGCTAACTCGCGCGTTATGCGTTTTTATGTCAAGGAGGTCATGCGATGATGAAACGTCCGCGCGCATCACGCAAAAAGAGAGCAAAAGGGCATGTACATTCCTTCGTACTACTCTTGTCTCGGAACGAAATGAGACACTGGATAGATGGATGGACGATCCTAGCACGCGAATACGCGCACGCGCTCCTCTCCGCGTTTTGATTCCCCGCGGAATAAAGTCGAGCGACTTTATGGAGGCGATCACGACGTCGCTCGCAAGCTCGTTAGAGCCGGCCTCCGAGGTCGTAATTAAAGAGCGAGCGAGGTGTGCAGTTTGCAATTTATACGCCGGCAGTCGATGGGCTGCCGCCGTTAACGGGGGCGAAATTCGTCGCACAAGCTTAATCCTTTCATTTCGGTCGCGGACACGATTCAGATAAATTTGGCGACACGATTTAACAAGTGTTTTTAACTACTTCGGTTTTTTCGCAGCGAAAAAATAATCTAGAAAGTCTACGACCGCGGAAACTTTTAATTTTCAAAACTACAAATGCTATTATATATGCAATGAAAAGTGTCATAATGGTTTTGAGTTGAAAATATATCTACCATTTAAGTTAAATTAAAATTGCACAATAAATTGTTGATCAGTATAAATATTTTCAGAAACTGTGATAAAGGTTTAATCACAAAAATTGTTTAAATATAAAATTCAACAAAAGCTACTCTCTTTTTATCTCTCGATTAAATTTTTGCCTTACTGAATTGATGAGTAAATATATAAATATATTTATTATTTTATTTATTTATATTTCTATCAATATTTATAATTTATCATTTTATTATATATATTTTATATAAAACATGGACAATACAAAGCAATGCATTGGTTTGAATGAAACGCAACAACGCAACAACTTTTAATTTTTAACATTGTCGTCAAAATTAAAATATCTTTGAAAACGATTTTTATTTGCGCAGTCGAAATTATGAATTATAGCAAATTATGGCAAAAAAATTAAAGAAAAGAAGAAAGTATGAAATTTGAATAATAAAATTTTAGATTTTACACATATGCATACTAATGCCAAGCCTCTTTTGTATTAGAAAATCGACGTATCATTTAATTTTAGTCACGTTCGACAAAGGTCGTCTGACCCTGGTCCGACCCTTTCCACTTCGAATAATCAGCCACGCGTCAGTAACGCGAGATTGATTTCCCTTTAAGACCTTGGCATTCAGCTCTAAAATTCATCTTACAATAATCTATAATAATCTATTTAGTCTCGCTTGTTTCAATTTTTACTCCTTTTTATCTTGCATCTTTACATCTTTTCACTTTTGCAATCCTGAAAAGACCAACTTGAACCGCGCAACTGCTGACATGGAGAGATCTACCTAGTTAAACACCGAGCATCAATTCCAACGATGCAGTTCGACCCAAGTTGGAACACCTGGTGGCGTTGGATGCACGCTTCGTTATCTAATCGGGACAAACCTTTTAGACGTCGTAGTCGTCGTTGCCGCCATAGATAGCGCAAAGCGGAAGGAAACGACGTCTGCGACGTCGACAGTGACCGCTGCCGTGTGTTACAATATCGTGGAGGCACAGACTCTTAGGCCGCAAGCACAATGGCAAGCGATAAATTATGAGCCGTGAGCTATAGCTGGGTGAGCTCAGCTATCAGACAAACTTAGAATATACACCGCCGCATATATAGGCCGCATTTGCAGCGCGCGATTTTCGTATGCAATTGAAATATGCTAAAACATCATTTCCTTTTTCTAAATCGAGAAATAAAAACCTATTTTAAACAGAAAGAATATTTTTGTTGCACAAAAATTCTTCAAGATTCTTCTAACATTAATAAGTATGTATAAAAAAGTTTGGAATATGTGCAATTTTTTTTTTTTTTTAACATCGAAAAACAGATTATTTTTTCACGTTTTGCAGCAAAATGTCTTTTTAATGTTTCAACATTCGTGTTAAGAAAAAACTGCTTGTATCACAAATAGTATACTCTTCTGCGT